AGGCACCAACAAGATTTAATGATGGATCAGATGAAGAACATGAAAAAAAAAAGGAATCGATGATTCTTAAGAACTAACCTGAGCAACCAAAAGAATTTATTGATAAGGGAAGACTGTAAAACTATGACATCTCCCCTTTTACAACTTGACCTCTTTTTATTGCTGAGGAAGATGTGCCCCTGAGCTAACATCTGTTGCCAATCTTCCTCTTTTTGCTTGAGGACGATTTGCCCTGAGCTAACATCTGTGGTCAATCTTCCTCTATTTTGTATGTGGGTCGCAGCCACAGCATGGCTGACGAATGGTGTAGGTCTGCGCCCAGGAACCGAACCCGGGCCACCAGAGTGGAGCGCACCGAACTTAACCAGTAGGCCTCAGGGCCAGCCCCTAAAACTTGACCTTGTTTGTTTGGGCAACCTCAGATTCTAGTTTGCCTTCCTGCAAAAGGCAACTTAAAGACTGTTTTCTGGTCTTATAAACAGAATCTTTCTTTGACATGCCATGTTTCAATAGTGCCAGTTTTGGGGGGAGGAAGGGTGTAGGGGTAGGGAAAGAGGGAAGTCTCCACTCACAACCTGAATTAATACAGATCCCTATGTATACCAATTCCCAGAACCATTTTGGAGGTTATTATTCTGGGTCCTGACTTGTTTTTAAGAAAATAATTCCCTTAAACTGATCAGTCTTGAAGCCCACTTGCCCTCTCCTTCTCAGTTTTACAATTAAATAAAATGTTCCTACAGTTTGTTTTCATTAACTAGACAAGCAGAATCAGAGAGAATTAGCATGTTTCTTGAGAAACTGTACTAACTTCCACCAGTTGGAGAGAAATGTTTAATAAGAACAGTCAAACACAAGTAATAACACCTTAAATTCCCATGCTGTTGTATACTATAACTGCTATCTTAATTACTGCCCTTACTTCACATCCCAACCGTTTAAGTTATTATCATACATGAGGAAACTAAGGCTTATATCAATCAAACTTTTCACCCAATACCATTTTAGACAGCAATACCCTTACAACGTGGGTTTTGTGACAAAGTCTAGTATTGTTCCCTACTATTAATCCTCTCCATTCAAAACAGTTTTCATTAACCTTAAATAATAAAACCACCCCAAGTTTCCTGATAACTTCAGTATATATTTGTACTGTATTTGAAAACTTATTGTAAAAGACACACTTTCAAAAACTGGTCTTCGGGGGCCGGCCCGGTGGCGCAAGCAGTTAAGTGCCCACGTTCGGCTGCGGCGGCCCAGGGTTCGCCGGTTCGGATCCTGGGCGCGCACCGACGCACTACTTGTCAAGCCATGCTGTGGCGGCGTCCCATATAAAGTGGAGGAAGATGGGCACGGATGTTAGCCCAGGGCCGGTCTTCCTCAGCAAAAATGGAGGAGGATTGGCAGATGTTAGCACAGGGCTGATCTCCTCACAAAAATTTAAAAAAAAAAAAAAAAAAACTGGTCTTCCATTCAACACTCCACACCTTTACTCTTACACTTTATCAGTAAGAAAAAGATACTGAGTCCCTGGAGGATCTAAAATTAGCTCACCTATATCAACATGACTAAGATCTCACAGTCCTTGGTGCCTTTACCTATACAATAAAGAGGAAACAGAATGTAATCCTGTTGTACTCATTAGGTCATACATGGAGACAACCAACATTCCAAAATAGCTCTCTGAGTTTTCCCTAAGAAATAGAAAAAAAGGGCCAGCCCCGTGGCTTAGCGGTTAAGTGCACACGCTCCACTGCTGGTGGCCCGGGTTCAGATCCCGGGCGCGCACGGACGCACCGCTTCTCCGGCCATGCTGAGGCAGCGTCCCACATACAGCAACTAGAAGGATGTGCAACTATGACATACAACTATCTACTGGGGCTTTGGGGGGAAAAAAAATAAATTAAAAAAAAAAAAAAAGAATTAGCCCCCCTAAAAAAGAAAAAAAGAAATAGAAAAAAAAATGTAATCTTATCATATAGTCAAAAGGAATGATATATACTAAATAATTTAGTTTGATAACAGCTTAAATCAACTGAAAAAAATCTACAATAGTCATCTATACTAGGGACCAACAAACTTTTCTGTGAAGGGCCAGAAAACAAATATTTAGGTTTTACAGGCCATACAGTCTCTCATCCCAACCACACAACTACTCAACTCTGCAGTTGTAGCACGAAAGCAGCCACACACAATAAATGAATGAATGAGTGTGTTGTGTTCCAATATACTTAACAATACAAATGGGGGGCTGGATTTGGCCTGGGGCCCATAATTTGCAACCCCTGATCTATACTATCTTGAGCCCACTTCCTAATGCAGATGAAAACAATGAAATGTTACAGAATGAGATAAACAGAGAACAAAATATATTATTTTCTTTATTCTTCAGCTAACCTCAAAAATTTTAATAAAATTGGATTTTTAAAAATCACTGTTAATCATTATTGTTTTTAGGTGTGTTAAAGGTATAATAAAGTTTAAAAAAAGAGCACTTATCTTTTTAGGATACATAAATATTTATAGATGAAATGATATGACATCTGGATCTGCTTCAATATAATTTAGTGGAGAGAGTGGGAGGTAAGGAGGTACAGATAAGACAAAATTGGTCACGAAAAATAATTGAAGTGGGTTCATGAGTACATAGGATTCAATATACTATTCTACTTTTATAAATGTTTAAAATGTCCAATAAAAAAATTAATAACAAACTGGTAAATGATGAATCACAAATTTAAGTGCATCTGTAAAATTAATGAATTTCTTCATCTTTTAAACCAGGGTTTCTCAACTTCAGCCACTATTAAAATTTGAATTGGATAATTCTTTGTTGTGGCAGCTGTCCTGTGCACTGTAGGACACTCAGTAGCATCCTTAGTTTTTACCCGCTAGATGCCAGTAGTACTCTCCCCGCCCCTCCTTGACCAGTTAGTCACAATCAAAAATGTCTCCAGACATCTACAAATTAAATCTGCCTACAATGGTTTTTAAAACAGAAAATGCACGGAACGTAAATCCAAATGAGTAGGTATGGTAGAAGTCTACATGTTATCTCACCGCTCTAGTCAACACACAGTTTTCAAACTGAAAGATAAATTATTTACAAACACCTAGCCTACTGAGCCTCACTCCAACTCCAGTCTTACTATGTTTATAGTATTAACTAATTATTTGCTTTGTACTTGAGTTCAATTAAGGAAAAAGGAAACCCACTCTTGAAAAAAAAAGTGCCAACTTCGTTCCCACCCCAAAGCTGCACCCTTATTCTACAGAGCTTCTCATGTGAACAAAAAGTCTTTAGAAACACAAATTTATTGATAGTCTTATATTGCCTGGTTTAGTAATTAAATTCTGAATCAGAAAGCATACTTTTTAAAAAAATTAGGCAAAAAGAAATTTGGTTTTTCAGTCTCTTGCCTTATTAGCTATAATCAGAAGGGCTTTGATATTTTAGTAGTTGTTGCTATTGTAGTTTCTGGATTCACTGAATTAAAAATGAGATATTCAATTCAGGGAATTTCACTCCATTTCCCCAGACCAGACTAAAACAATAATAAAATAAACTAACTGCCTGACATTTACAAAATACTAAATTTAAATTAAGCCTTTCCCGTATTACCAAAAAACCTTATAACACATACTGGGTTCCTAAATTCACAACCAACAAAGATGTGACTTAAATTAAAAATTACTACTGTAAAAGCAAAATCAAATTATATAATCTCTTTCATAAAGACATCACAGTAATAAAACTATCAGATAGTTTATGATGTCTATTATGCTAATTTAAAATTTAAGCTCTTTCTAGGCAAAAGAAAATTTCAACATCAAAGACGACTTAGGGCCGGCTCTGTGGCTTGGCGGTTAAGTGCGCGCGCTCTGATGCTGGCGGCCCGGGTTCGGATCCCGGGAGCGCCCGGAGGCACCACTTCTCCGTCCAACGCGAGGCCGAGTCCCGCGTACAGCAACTAGAAGGATGTGAACCTATGACATACAACTATCTACTGGGGCTTTGGGGTGAAAAAGCTGAATAAATAAAATCTTTAAAAAAAAAAAAAAAGACGACTTATTTACACCTACAACACCAATGGCTCTGTAGTAGCTATCCAACAACTCAAAATGCATACAATTGGAGAAAAAAGCAAAAATAATATAAGACTTCTCCTTTCAGATAGGTATCTTTAAAATTTTTTAATTAGTAAAAACAGGCTGGTCCACCAGTTTAAGTCCTTATTAAGCTTCCTCGGATGAGAGCATCATTTGGACAAAATTGCAACATTCTGCCTAGTCTAAATTTGACTGAATTTGACTTACTCCTGAATAATCTTGCATTAGACTAAAACAAGTGTAATTCTAATATATATTTTAAGTAATGAGGCTATAGTTAACTACAACAAAGGAAGCCATCCTTCACTCCACTCGTACAGATTCTCGATTGAAATTCCAATGATAGTAAAAAGTATTTATTTCCCTTTAATAAGAATATACTCTAAATTAAATTAAGCGCATATACATAGAGCAATAAAATGCACTGTAAAATCTTCAAAGATCCACATTAACGTAAGAAACAATAAGACTAAACAAATTCTAATTTACTGGTTCCCTTATGAGAAAAACAAAAAAAACAAAGAAAGGCCTCTGGGCGTCACAGATCAGGAAAAATCTTGGCCTACATGATCTATACTCCCCTTCCCTCAACTTACCCAGTATAATTCTTAGATGAGCCCAACAGGGCTCCCAACAGCATCCTGGTCCTACCATAGTAAAGGGAAACTCAACTCCTATCTTCACTTAGGGTTATGCCTAGAATATTGAAGGATTACAGAAAAACAAGACATGCTTCAAGTTGTCATCTGTCAAATTTTTCTTTTCAGTCACAAGAGCCTTAGGTGAACATTAAATTTCAAGAATGAAAAAAATCCATCTCATGATATAGAAGTACTATTTCTGGGACATCCATTTTTACTTAAAATAGTTTTCAAGCTTAGTTTAATTACCTCTGCTTCTACATCCACATTTTGCTTCAAAAGTAACTTCAAAATGTCAACATGCCCATTCTGACTAGCAGCTTGCATAGCTGTGTGGCCAGCACACTGTCCATTTACCTAAAGAAAAAAAAACCAAAGGCTGAAGGAATGTCACAAACCAGACAGAGCCAATATATGCACGTAGTATAGGTTTAACTCTAGCACACTGTATGATTCTATGAAAACAATTTAGGTTGGTGTTCCATATATCCCAGTACAGATCACCAGAAACTGTTCTAATGTAGAGACGGGATGCAGGCGTTTTTTTAAACAGACGTAACTTCTCTCGTTCAAAGAGAGAATCTACAAAGGTGAAAAAAGAAAGAAAGGAAGGGAAAGAAGGAGGGACACACAAAGGGAAGTAAGTTACACTAGTTTTGTATATTTACTTCTATTTGGATTATTATATCTCAGAGCCTATGTTTCAATAAAAAAGGACAATAAGGTGAACGGAAAACTTTTAGAGAAGATACTTTCTACTATAGTACAAATAAATTCAATTAGACAAATATATCGAATACCAACTGCAAGCAAACTTCCATGAAGGATTAATGAGTTATATACAATTATTCTGTTATTGTTAACGAGCTATATATATATATTATTGAGCTATATACAATTATTCTGTTTATAAAGCAGTAATTTCCAATCTTTTCTTTACCTTGAATGTTACGCGAATGCATAACTTACCCATGAACATACCCAAGGCTAAGTGCAATTTCTTAATCTCACCGCATTCACTCCCATCCATAAAACCATAAAAGATGGTTAAAGATGATAGCCTGACCAAACATGTTTATATCCTATCCTTCCTGAGACTACACTAAGAAGACAGTAAAATAATTTCAAACATCAAAAGCCATAAAGACAAAGAGAAAGGGAGAGCTGACATCAGAAAACAACACAATTTTGAAAGAAAGCAAGCAGACAAAGAAGTTCTGACATTATAGAAACGGAAGACAACGGCTGAGAACCCCAGACAAATTCAAAGCCTGCAAATGCAAGCACATCAGAGGGCTAACAAGAGAGGCCACAGGTATAAATCTGATGTGCAATGGCCACACTCCAGGCCCACTCCTCGAACTCCAGGACAGAGTATTAGCTGCCATGCATCATGTCTCTAGGCAGGGAAAAGGACATTTCTTCCCTCAAACAACTGAATAGCCATAGAGAACAGACACCTACTTGACGGCATTTGGAGATCTTCAAAAGCTCTACACACAACAATCACCATAATGCAAAGTCAGTCACCAAGTCCTGTCCAGGTAAAGAGAGCTACCAATTGGCCTTTTAATATCTTATTCAGATACGAATGGACAAAGAGCCAAAAAAAAAAAAAAGACACCAGGCCCAGAAGGGTGAATTCTACCAAACATTTAAGGAAGAATTATACCAATTCTCTAAAATCTCTTTCAGAGGACAGAAGCAGAGGGCATATTTCTTAACTCATTCTATGAGGGCAACAGTACCCTAATACCAAAGCCAGACAAAGCCATTACAAGAAAGGAAAACTACAGACCAATATCCCTCACGAACATGCAAAAATCCTCAACAAAATGTTAGCAAATTGAATCCAAAAATATACATAAAGAATTATACACCACGACCAAGTAGGATTTATCCCAGGTATGCAAGTCTGGTAAAATATTCAAAAATTAGTTAACATAATCCATCACATCAACCGACGAAAAAAGAATAATCACATGATCATATCAATAGATACAGAAAAAGCATTTTACAAAATTCAACACCCACTCATGACAAAAACTCTCAGTAAACTAGGAATAAAGGGAAACTTTCTCAACTCGATAAAGACTATATACAAAAAAAGTACAGGTAACATCATACCGAATGGTGAGAAACTCAAAGCTTTCCCACTAGAATCAGGGACAAGGCAAGCACCTTTTCAACTTTTCAAAGCACCACTCCTTTTCAACATCATACTAGAAGTCCTAGCTAATGCAATAAGGCAAGAAAAGAAAAGAAAACATATACAGACTAGAAAGGAAGACATAAAACTGTCTGTTCATAGATGATATGATCACTTATGTAGAAAATCCAAAAGAATAAACAAAAACATTCCTGGAACTAATAAGCGATTATAACAAGATTACAGGATACAAGATTAATATTACAAGTGTCAACTGCTTTCCTATATACTAACAGTAAACAAGTGGAATTTAAAAATAAAAACACAATACCACAGCACAGCGAAAGAAATCATCAACAAAATGAAAAGGCAATCTACTGAATGGGAGAAAATATTTGCAAATCATATATATGATCAGGGGCTAATATCCAAAATATATAAAGAACTCATATAACTCAATAGCAAAAAAACAATTTGATTTAAAAATGGGCGGAGAATCTGAATAGACATTTTTCCAAAGAAGACATATGGATGGCCAACAGATACATGAAAAGATGCTCAACATCACTAATTATCAGGGAAATTCAAATAAAAACACAATACCATTTACATTATCACCCCCCAAAATTTAATACTTAGGTATAAACCTAACACAATATGTACGAGATCTACATGAGGAAAATTAAAAACTCTGATGAACAAAATCAAAGAACTAAATAAATGGAGAGATACTCCATGTTCATGGACAGGAAGATTCAATATTGTCATATGCCAGTTCTTCCCAACTTGATCTATAGATTCAGTGCAATCCCTATTAAAATCCCAGCAAGTTATTTTATGGATATTGACGAACTGATTCTAAAAATTATATGGAGAGACAAAAGACCCAGAGTAGCCAACCCAACATTGAAAGAGAAGAACAAAGCTGGAGAACTGACACTACCTGACTCTAAGACTTACTATAAAGCTACAGTAATCAAGACAGTGTGGTACTGGCCAAAGAACAAATAGATCAGTGGAACAGACTAGAGAGCCCAGAAATAGACTCTCATAAATATAGCCAAAGGATCTTTGACAAAGGAGCAAAGGCAACACAATGGAGCAAAGATAAGTCTCTTCAACAAATGGTGCTGGAACAACTGGACATCCACCTGCAAGAAAATGAATCTAGACACAGACCTTACATCTTTCACAAAAATTAACTCAAAACGGATCATAGACTAAATGTAAAACACAAAACTATAAAACTCATAGAAGACAAAACTTAGATGACCTTGGGTACAGTAATGACTTTTTAGATACAATACCAAAGACATGATCTATGAAAGAAAGATAAGCTGGATTTCATTAAAATTAAGAACTTCTGCTCTGCAAAACAAAATATCAAGATAATGAGAAGACAAGCCATGGACTGGGAAAAAAATATTTGCAAAATACATAGCAGGTAAAGTACTCTTATTCAAAATATACAATGAACTTTTAAAACTCAACAAGAAGAAAACAGTCCAATTAAAAAATGAGCTAAAGACCTGAACAGACACCCCACCAAAGAAGATATATAGATGACATATAAGCATATGAAAAGATGCTCCCCATCATATGTCATCAGGGAAATGCAAATTAAAACAACAATGAGATATCACTACCACCTTTTAGAATGGCCAAAATCCAGAACACTGATAACACCAAATGCTGGCAAGGATGTGGAGCAACAGGAACTCTCATATACTGCTGATAGGAATGCAAAATCGTATGCTTACTATGGAAGACAGTTTGGCATTTTTCTACAAAACTAAATATATTCTTACCATATGATCCAGCAATCACACTCCTTGGTATTTATCCAAAGGAACTGAAAACTTACGTCCACACAAAAACCTACACATGGATGTTTACAGCAGCTTCATTCATAATTGTCAAAACTTGGAAGCAACCAATATGTGCTTCAGTAGCTGAATGGATAAACTGTGCTACATCCAGACAATGGAATATTAATCAACACTAAGAAGAAATGAGCTATCAAGCCATGAAAAGACACGGAAGAAACTTAAATGCATATTACTAAGTGAAAGAAGCCAATCTGAAAAGGCTTTACTGTATGGTTCCAACTACTGACATTCTGGAAAAGGCAAAACTATGGACACAATAAAAAGATCAGTGGTTGCCAGGGATGGGGTGGGGCAAAAAATGAATAGGCAGAGCACAGAAGATTTTTAGGGCAGTGAAAATACTCTGTATGATATTATAATGATGGATATATGTCATTATACTTTTGTCCAAACTCATAGAATGTACAACACCAAGAATGAACCCTAAGGTAAACTGTGGACTTTGGGAGATTATAATGTGTTAACGTAGGTTTATCCTTGGTAAAAAATGTACCATTCGGGTGAGTGATGCTGATAATGGGGGAGGTTATACATATGTGGGCAGAGGGTATGTGGGAAATCTCTGTAACTCCCTCTCAATTTTAGTTTGTAAACCTAAAACTGCTCTAAAAAAATAAAGTCTAATATATAATATATATATATTTATATATATAAAATTTCCAGATAGGAAAGACACAACTTCCAGAATAAAAAGATCAAACACCAAAAGCAATGGATAAAAATAGACCCACATCAAGGCACATCATTGTGCAAGTTCACAATATTAGCAAAAAAAAAAGAGATCTTCATACTTGAGAGAAAAAAAACTGCTCACGTGTAGGACCAGGAATCAGAACGGCTTAAATCTCCTCAACAGCAATTCTGAATGCTGGCAGAAAATGGAATTATTCTGAAGGAAAATGATGTCCCACCTAGAATTCTATTCCCATCTAAAATTTAATTGTAAGGTTAAAAAAAAATTACATATTAGAGATCTATTTCCCATGAACACTTTCTTAAGAAGCTACCAAAGACTGTACTTCACAAAAGAGAGTAAACGTGGAAACAGACAAAGGATACAGAAAACAAGAAATCCAACAAAGGAGAGAGGGGAAGGGAACCCTCAGGCTGATGGATGAGGAGACATTCCAAACGGGCATCAGGTGCAGAGGGCAACCTGCCCCAATGAATCACATTAGAAGGCACTGAAAGCAATCTTAGATGATGAAATGAATACGTACCTGATGTGCCTGAATGTCTTGAGAGATCAGACAATTAGAGAGAAGTTCGGAGAAAAATTAATTATAACAATACAGATTACTAACAAATGAGAAAAAAATTTAATTATGTCTGGGGTTAAAAGGGACTGACTGGGAAAAACTACAAGTGAACTTTTTGGAATGAAAGAAACGTCCCACATATTAATAGGAGCGTGGATCACGTGGGTGTATGCATTTGTCAAAACTGACTGATCCATGTTATTTCACTATATGTAAATTACACCTCAATGTTTTTCAAAAAAAACAACTATGAACACCAAGGAAAACAAAAAGGTTTGTAAGAAAACACAATCCAGTATCGTCCACAGCTCAGATATGAATGTCATTTAAATAATAACATGCACAATTAATTCTAATCTTAAAATTACAACACAATATAACCACGTTAAGGAGCTGGGAGGAGTGTGTATATGTGTGGTGAAGGTGGGCTGGAAGTGGTAAAAGAAAGCTGAATCCTCACTTCCACAGTGAAGTATCAAAAGATAACTCCTAAAACATAAAAATCAATAAATAACAGAAGTATGTTACTGGAAGATGTGAAGGTAAATATATGAAGGAAATCAGCTGAAAGAGGTAAAAATAGTTGCCTCTGAAGAATGGGAAAATAAGGTTGAGAAGGACACGTTTTTCATAATAAACCTTGTAAAACTATTTTTCCCTTTAAATTTTTAGAATGTATGACATTGTTAAAAAATAACTAAAATAAATTAGTAATTAAATGAAGAAAAAAATTAAGTATAATAAAATGTAAACCTTAAATAAAATATATAGATGAGAAGTCTGACTCTATCTTTCAAACACAAAAAACACTTGGTACTTTAATATCTGAAACAAATTATTTGTGATCAATCAAGAAACCACTGAGTTGTGCTGCTGCAATTACTCTCTCTCTAATAAACCTAAAATGCCACATGAGCTCATAGGAATGTTTACACCTTACAATTATAGATCTGATCTTCTTCAAACTGTCTAGCATACTTACATGCAAAGGTGTGGCAACAAAAGCCTCACAACACAGTGACAATGAATCACAGTGACACTCCATCTACAATCTCCTGGTGGGCACTGAACATCGTATCAGTGCCAGCACAGTAGCAATGGGAAAGCCAACAGATGACTAAGCAAGAACCAAAATGGCCCACTTAAAATATAGCTTATGTGAACAGTAAAATTACATCAACTATTAAGATGTACAAAATGCATAACCTCCAATTTATCTGCATTATAAACTCTGAAATAGTCAACTTTCACAGGAGGCGGGAGAGGAAAATGTTTAAATGTTTTAAAAAGAGGGATAGAAAACTGCTTATAAAAGTTATTAAAATATATTTAAAAGACATGACAAGATGAAATTTACATGAGAAAAATTCACTAAATTTCCCAAAAGGACACTAGCCACTTAAAAACCTAAATCTAAGTTTTGTCAATCATAAAATAAAAAAGGTCACAGTATTAAAATAAGAAAACATCAATATCTTTTAGAAGTGCACACTGAAAAATGATGTGTGGTGTCTTCTTTAAAATACCTCAGAAAAACAAGGAAGAAGGAATAGATGAAGCACATGCAGTAAAATCTTAATAACTGTTGAAGTATAAGGTTCATTACACTATTCTATTTTTGTATATGCTTCAAAATAATTTTTAAAATGCTCACATCCACATCTGGTCTTTTTAGCAAATCTTCCACTTTAGCAACATCTCCATTGGCAGCAGCCTTAACTAATTCTTCATTGAGGTCACCAGATTCTTGGGTTTCAAATAATTTCTTCAAGAGTTGGGAGAGTCTTTCTGTAAAGCATCAAATAAAGTTGCTAATATAGGAGGATCTCAAACATTAACTACTAACAGGCAAGCATTACCTATATGCCTATAACACATACTTTTTCTTTTTTATTATTTCTACCATTAATGTTATTTTTGTACTATGCTACAGATATTACCCATACAAGTTATAATTACTACCATATAAAGCTGCATTCAATTCAAGCACATAAGTATTCCCAGTTTTCTCCAATTCATGTATTTCAAGTTCAAATATCAGAAAAAGTAGAGTTACACACAAATAATAATTCATCAATTAGAAGTCACACCAAAGATATTATGAATGAACATACTACAATGGGAGTATCATAATGATACAAACTTCCTTTCAGGTCTTAAGCCTACCACACTGACTCGCAGAGCTCAATGCTACAGACCTTAGAATAAATCAACAGGTCAATGATTATGATGCAAAAGCAATGTAATCTCTATGATATCTAGCCAACTATTTTAGGGACAAACCAATTTCAGTTGAAAATGGACATCTAAGTGTTAATAACGTACTTCAAAGGTGACAACTGATTAGTTTTGACTAAAGTAAGAACAAACCAGAGATGTACTTATATAGACCCTTTTATAACATTTTTTTCTAAATAGCACTAATCAGTAGAGAACCTACCTAGTTCTACTCCTTAATTCTTGGGTCTACTTATTGGAAAGCAAAGAAATCACAAAGTGGGGCAGAGGACCAACACTAAGTCCACATTATTTGAGAGAAGGATAGTAACCATCTTTCACTCTTCTAATTCGTATGTAGTCAGCCTGTTGTGATGCCATCTAACCTCAAGGTAAAAATAAACACCTCTTAATTTAAACTTCAAGCAGACTAGCAAATTACAGCAGGAGAGAAGAGACAGAGGGAGAGGAAGTATGAAAGCTCTACAAAATAAAATTGGAGGTCACCCAACGTTTTCCTTTACTTTTTTATTATCTACAGTTATGGTTCTATCTTCTTTTCTGCATGACAACAATATACATAGAGTAACTTGTAATTTGATGCAGAATGAACTGAGTCTGTGTATATAAAGCTGGAGCATAGGGAGGAAAGATTTTAGGCAAAAGTCTACCCAAGCATCCAGCGTATCCACATCTCAACATGGTTTTCTACTCACTGTAACATGTATAATATAGGGGAAAAATATGGCTTATATGTAAAAATATCCAGAAAGAAAGCCATCTGCTAGTAATAATGTTGGAAATACAGAGAAAATAAAGCAGTCTAAGAAAGTGATGGTTCTTTGTCAGAAAACAAAAGCTCTAAATAAAGAGTAGAATGTCAAATTTCAGGTATCTCAGATTTGATATGGAGAAGCCCTTGAACTTTTCCAGGGCATACCTCAGCCAGAACAAAGGTTGTTCATTGTATGAAAAAAGAAAAAAATCTTCAGTGAAAGTTGAAAAGGTAGTTAACATTCAAGTGACGTTATGTGATCTGGGAGAAAACCAAGAACCCACACGAGGTTATCTGTATACGACAATAGGCAATTAGCAATTGTTCTATTGTAAAACATATTACTTTTAAAGAAACATGACACAAAACATACCACCAGATGCATTGCTAATGGCTGATCCTGCAGATGCCACCTTGGAAACTGCTGCTGGATTATACGTCCAAGATGTTCCACAAACTTCCACCTTTAAATCACTGTCTGAATAAATCTGTTGTACTCGGCCAACTTTACCTAAAGTCTTTAAAAAAACATTAGATTCATGTTTCCAAGTCTAAAGTATATACCATAAAAATCAATCACCATTTTTCACATGTGTAAAGCATTAATTTTACTTGATTCCTAATGAAAAAACTTTTAAAGGATAACCATATGGGCCAGCCCCATGGCTTAGTGGTTAAGTGTGTGCGCTCCACTGCTGGCAGCCCGGGTTCGGATCCCGGGCGCACACCGACGCACCGCTTCTCCGGCCATGCTGAGGCCATGTCCCACATGCAGCAACTAGAAGGATGTGAAGCTATGACATACAACTATCTACTGGGGCTTTGGGGGAAAAAAAATAAATAAAATTATTTAAAAAAAAAAAAAATAAATAAATAAATAAATAAATAAAGGATAACCATATTCAAAGGGGTTATTTACTAGTTACAAACTTTAAAGAGTATCTTTAAAAAATATTTTAGTAAAACTACTATACTTCCACAAGAATATAAAAACAAAAATAAATCATGACAGCCTATCTTATTCATAAAGTTCACAAAATTTTGCCTTTTGATACTCAACCCTTCTTTTTTTTTTTTTTTTTAAATATGAGTCAGTTTATTCAAGTAGTTTTATATACAGCATTTTATTTTATTTTTTTCCCCCCAAAGCCCCAGTAGATAGTTGTATGTCATAGCTGCACATCCTTCTAGTTGCTGTAGGTGGGACGCAGCCTCAGCATGGCCAGAGAAGCGGTGCATCGGTGCGCGCCTGGGATCTGAACCCAGGCCTCCAGCAGCAGAGTGTGCGCACTTAACTGCTAAGCCATGGGGCCAGCCCTCAACCCTTCTTCTTTAACCCCACAAGATATATCTTGAGAACTTGTAACTCATGAAGTCCAAAATCCATCATCAATTCAGCCTAAAAAAAGAAACTCTGATTTCTAAAAAAAACTATTTAAACCAAAAAGGGCTCAAAGCTTACATCTATGTTTAAATCCTTTTTGGAGTCATGCCTGATTCCAAAACAGAAGTGTGTAGAAATAAGATGCTTATTAAATAAAGGGAATAAGCAGGGCAATCAGGTGCAGAACACAATCAGTGGCAGCAGCTCTTAACATGTAGAAGATACTGTTCTAAGAGCTTTATATGTGTTGACTCACCTAATACGTATAACCCTGAAAGTTAAGTGCTATTATTAGCCCCATTTCAAACTCAGGTCCAAAACCCATCTCTTGAGCACAACAGAACAGCAAATAATACTAGAAAATTGGTGAAGAATAGTGATAATACTGGAGGAGAAATTGCCCTTGACTTGTGCCCTTGACTTGTTTTTCTCTTTTGACCTCTCCACAGCATCAGACCCCCACTTCTTGAAATTATTCCCTTGATTTCCAGATGCCAGTCTAATCCTTCTGCCTGGTCCTTCCTTTTCTCCACTCACTGACTTCTTTTCCTTCTTCAGATCTCTAAATCTATTCATTCTCCCAAAATTTTATTCCCTAATTTTTTACTCTTCTTTCTTAAAAATTTAATCCACTTTGACAACTGTCATCTTATTTCTAAAGACTCCAAAATACACTTCTCTAGCCCTGTTTATCCCTCTGTTAACCCCCAACACACTCCAATTTTAACTTCTCATTAGACATTTTCACTTGGAATTTTCCACCATAATCTCAAACTCTATGAGGCTGCATTCTGCTTTTTCCTCCTTAACTTCATTATGGAAGATCTCAAACACACAAAAGTAGACAATAGTATACTGAATCCTCACTCACTCATCAACCAATTTTCCCCTACCCATTCTCCCTTCCTGTATTATTTTGTCATGTCAACTCTTTTTTTAAACAAACATAATACAATACTATTACCAACCTACCCAAAATTATCGATAACTCTACAGTAACATAAAATACCGGTCAGTGTTCAAATTTCCAACTGAGTCATAAACATAAATAGTTTAAGTTTAAATCAAGCTCCAAAGAAAGTCTACATATATTTTTTTTCTTTGCAAATTATTTGTTGAAGAAACAGGGTTATTTGTCCTATAAAGTTTCTTACAACCTGAATTTTGCTAATTGGTATAGTTTAATAGGTTCATCTGTTTCTGAATTTAGTAAGAAATCCTCAAGTTGGCTGCTAGATCCTTTTAACATGACCTAGAAATCTCTGATAGCTTCCTTGCTATCTGGTATGAGGATCATCTTCCTGCTAAAGAGCTAGAATTAGCCATTTCTGAGGGTCATTTCTGAGGTTCACTTCCTCCCCAAGAGCTAGAATTAGCCATTTCTCCAAAGAGCCCTGGTTCTTTACAGAGGGAAAGGCTATTTCAAGACCACAATCTGGGCACTAAAGTTGGTTATTGTTACTGGAATGGTCATTGTTTCTCGGCCTTTTCATGAACAGAGCTAGGAAAAAGGGGGTTTTGTTTTATTTTGTTTTAAAAGATGAAATCAGAAGTTCAAACACTTCCAATTCGAATTCAAGACTACAGGGTTTTTACTGAACCTCTTCTGTATTAGACCTGTATCTCCTTTTCCCACTCTAATCATTCTGGTTCTCAAAGTCACTGGGAGTAACAATTAAAATTATCATGTGACTACTCATTTTTTTTGTCATATTACAGACACAATAATCTCAGAATAACGATATTAACACTATCACAAACAATAAGATTTCTGAAAATTGTTAAATATTTCTTTTTCTATGCAGTTCTGTAGGGTATATTCCCCTATAAGGACATAAAGACAAATTACTGTGATTAAAAATCACTTCATTTTATTTTCCACTTTAGAAGTTCCTTTTTTAAATTTAATTTTGTTATATAATTGTATAAAATGTGTATGTGATTTCAGATTAAATCTATAAAACAAGACATATTCAAAGACATCTCCCTTCTACCTTTGTCCCCTATATCATATTGCTTTTATACATGAACACTCAATTTTTTAACTTTATGGTTAATCCTGCCATTCTTTGCTTTCATTAATATAAAGTTTATATTAAAACTTTATATTAAACTACATTGTCCTAATAGTTATGTTTATAGTTATATATTATATACTCTTATTCCCTCTTCTCTCCCTAATATTTTGATTTTAAATCAGATTTTAAATTAACAGTATTTAGTCTCAATTAATAATTAAAAGGCAATAAAATACCTTATTAAACTTTCCCTACACTCTCTCCATTCCCATCCCACTTTTTCACAGTGTACTATATCTACGTTATAACCATTACAGACTCGTGGTTCAACAAATAAATATATATTCAGTGATCACCACCAGTCCTTCAGCTGGTGTCTCTGTAGTCATTTTGGTTGTCTGAAACTAATTCTCAGAAAAGGCTCACAGGAAAAGACTCTGAATTCTTACATGTTTACAGCAATTTGTAGCCTTTACGCTTGAAAGTCAGTTTGGTTACATATTAAATCCTTAGCTTACATTTTCTTTCTTTGAGTACCTTAAATAAATGTTATTTCACTGTTTTCTGGCATAAAACATTGAGATCAGACTTCTTAACAGCAATCTGATTTTCTTTCCTTTATAAGTAACTTTGTCTTTTTTACTAGATACCCAAAGAACTTTTTCTTTTCTTGAAGATTCAGTTATCTTACCAGAATATGGCTCAGTGTTTGGTGTTCTGGGTCAGTTTGCCCAGATATGCAATATGTCCTTTTATTTTTATTTATTTATTTTTTTGTGTGAGGAAGATCAGCCCTGAGCTAACATTCGATGCCAATCCTCCTCTTTTTGCTGAGGAAGACTGGCCCTGGGCTAACATCTGTGCCCATCTTCCTCTACTTTATATGGGACACCGTCACAGCATGGCTTGACAAGTGGTGCACCAGTCCACGCCTGGGATCCAAACCTGTGAACCCCGGGCCGCGAAAGGGAAGCACACGCACTTAACCGCTATGCCACTGGGCCAGCCCATCAATGTGTCCTTTCAATATCTAGTTTCAAACCTTTTAATTTCAGGAAAATTTTTCTAGAATTACACATTTTAGCATTTGTTATATCCCATTGCTTTGGTTTCTGTTTTTCCTTTCTGCAAGGACTCCTAATACACATATATTAGATATTCTATATTTGTCACTTTCTCTCATATACTTTATCTTTTTGATTTTAAAAATATTCTTCCTTTTTATCTTCTATTTCTCTTAAGGCATTATCTGTTGTATTTATTTGCTCTGTGTTGTTTCTATCTTACTCTTCATTTCTGAAACAATCTTTTCAATTCTCTAAGTTCTGTCACCTCATTTCTAATTATGATTTAATTCATTCTTTCACATCTTTTATCATTTTCTTAATTTCTTTTAGCTCATTTTGCATTATTAGATTTTAGTTTTCTGTGCATATCTTTCTCATGTACTTTCATTTGTCTGTAGAGAAGTTATTCTATTCCTTATTCTTTTTTTTCAATAATAACTGTGTATGGGGATTCCACCATGATCCATCCAACTTTTATTTGGACCTACTCTTTCCTTTGTCCCTACTGTCTCTAACCTACTCAGTTTGGTTTCTCTTCTCAGCACTTTCTCCTCAATGGAGGGCTCTGCCCTGGAAGGGAGCTTCGGCTGGTTATTTCTGAGAGTTTACAGACCCAGGTTGCTCCAGTCCCTTCAGACTATAGCACAGACCTATTGCTCTCACCCCAAACCAGAGTCTGCGAGAGTCCTCTCAGGTTCAGTGGTTGTGACCACACTAGCCAATGAACATTTGTTAGCTATACTGGAGTTCCCCTGTTCTCAGGTCCATCTGATGCCCCACTAATTTTCTCTGCTGCCATACAGACAGATGCAGACCCAGTAGCTGTCAGCGGTTTATCTCCACTCATTCATATTTTAGGGCTCAACAGGCTACTCTGTCACCTGGCTTTGGTACAGTTGTTTGTGGCTTTTTTGGTTATGCTAATCTAGTTGTTGACTATTTTTATCAAGAAGATTTGAGAAGATTCAAATCTATATCACCACTAATAGAATCCCAGAATTCCTCTCTAGAAATTATCTAGAGGTTTTGCTTTTACAGCAGCTTAATAGGGGAGACAGAGTACTTAAGCTTTTGGGTTCAAATTCCAGTTCAGAATCTTAGCTCTGATTTCCTCATCTTTAATACAAGGATGCCATACCACCACCTACATATAATATTCCTAAGACAAATAAAGTCTACATGTATATGTAGTTACATGTATACATACATGTACGTGTGCACGTGTGTACATGTGCACATCATCTAGCACAGTGCTTGGAATAACTGGGCACTCAACAGACAGAAGCAACTACAAGGTGTCATTGCTAAGTGGAAAAACAAAAATATCTTGACTATGAAAAATCTTCAAATAGTATATATAGCCCCTATAAAACAAGTCAAAAGATTACATTTTAAATAAAACCACACTACAATGAGGCTTGAAGTATATCAATACATTCTTTTAACCAACTTCAACATCAAAAGCAAACAAAACAAAGAGGGATTATATAGAACTTAATTTGTTTGACAAAAATAAACATTCTAAAATACATAGTCCTGAAAAACATACACAACCATCATTTATTCAATATCTAACTAAAGCAATAAAAAATAACATCAGCAGCCTCTGTAAACTACGAAATGTGTTTGAATGAAAGCACCAAAACAACAGAGATTTTTTTTCTGTGTTGTTCACTATTATATCTCCGAAGCCTAAAAGGCACAGTTTGTGCTAAAATATCTGCTGAAGAAGTAAGGCAGGAAGGAAGGATGGACTGATTAGGGACAAAACAACATGAAGGACAGGGAGGGGGGACTGGACAGGATGGGAGGGGGCAGAGAGCTAGATGGGGCAGGAGTTGAGGCTGGATAGGAAGAGAAGGAGGTGCAGGCCAGGACAAGGGACTGGACAACACAGCGCAGGGGGCAGGGGGGACGGGATACGAAGAGGGATGGGAGGGGAGGTACACGGGACAGGAAGGAGGCACTGAACAGGATGGGATTTGGGACTGGATGAGACAGGAGCAGGGAGTGGGCAAAGTAGAAGGCTGAACAGGACATAGCAAGGTGGAAGGAAATGGGATAAAGGGCAAGGCAGTGTGGGGAGTAGCAGGATGGGACAAAAGGACAGAAGGGAGGGACAGAGGGAGAAAGAGAAGGATGGACGAAAAGGCGGCAAACAAATTTTTTTGTTGTTGCTTAACATATGATAAAAAAAAATGTATTGACTGAAATAAATAAAAAATTAAACCGTAGCTCTTTGGGAGCAAAGTCGCCTCAGAAGGCACACATTCTGAGCGGCCCTTCCACACTCTAAGTTTCAGCAAGGCAGAGCCCCAAGTGAGGAAAGCAGCAGTGGTCCAGCACTGCTAGCGATGGATGAGCACGTCACTCCCATTTCTGGTGCCAAGCATCAGGAAAGCATCTGTTGCCTTCCCCTACATTACCTTCTCCACTAATAGCTCTATCAAAAAATATTAACTGTAGCTCTTTTTGAACCTCCCTGGGCTAATTTAACTGAAATAAATTAGAAAATAAAAGCTATAAGTATGCCTAGCTGCAAATGAAGAGTACAACTCTCAAAAGATTATGCTAATTTAGTTTCTAAAATTAAAGTACTTTTAAAAACTACATAAGCATGGTATAATTCCTAGTCCAGAACTATTTTACATATACTTACTGGGAGCATAGCTTCAGCCCATTCTCCATGTCCTCTTTGTAGAAGTTTAATTCTTTCCAGATCATAACAAACTTGCACAAGATCACCCACTTGAAACTGTGAGGTGCCTCCTTCTGCACCCTGAGCAGCATCCCCACTTCGTACAATGTTTGCTTTAGTGAGAACAGCAGGATTGAAGGTCCACCTGAAGATCAAAGCCAAAACTCAAAGTGGGTAAGTTTACTTAATTTTAACACAACACTCTTAGTTAAACATTGCAGGGAGAAAAGCCCTATAACATATCAAAAGAGTAAAGCATTCCTTTGCAGTTACATCCTCAATGATTTGTATTTCTCTTCATAATTTTATTATACAAATTTGGGAAAAGAGTCATCCATAATCTCACCACTCTAATATGTTATACTTCTGTCTAGATTTATTCTCTTCCATGTTTTAAAAAACTGTTATAAAAGTAATAAGCACTCACTGTTAAAAATTAAAACATTCAGAAACATAAAAAGCGAAAGTTCCATTTCACACAAACACACCTGGATCACCATTCCCCACCCCACTAGAAACCACTGTTAATACGCCACTGTGTATCCTCGCAGATTACCTATCAATATGCTGAGTGATAGTTACAATGTAGAGAGAGTTGTTTTCTTTTCCATAATGGGGATCATAATATACATATATATATAATTATTCTGTGACTTTTTTCTCAGAGAATGGATCTTGGAAGATTTATTTTTCAATGTCACAGACATAGATCTACATATTTCAATTTAATGGCTACAGAGTATTTCATAGCATGGATATACACTAATGTATCTAATCATTCTCCTATTAACTATCATTTAAAGTATTTCTAATTTTTCACTATTATGAACAATAGCATAAAGAACATCCCTGTATGTACATCTTTGTGCACATGGGGTCACTTTGTCATTAGAGATTCCTAAAAGAACTACTTCATCAAAGTATATATTTGTTCACAATTCTGATAGTTACAGCCAAACTGCTCTACAAAGAGTACAGCATTCCCCCATACCATTGCCAACTTCATGGATAAAAATAGTATCTAGTTTTAATTTGTCATGGTTAGGTATTTTAAATGATTATAATCATTGTATCAAAACAAATTTGGATTCTGATTTCTTCTTCTCTATACACAAGCATTTTTCTATGCTGCTCCCATCTTTATAATCACTATTTTATTGACTACTTAATATTCCACCAAATAGTTGTACCACAACGTATAACACATTTCCCATAGTCCCACATGGCACTCCAAAGCAAAAAAGTTCCCTAGTCAAATAAGCTTTTACAATATGGCATATTATATCCTCCTCTCCTTAATTCTAACGGTCATTAGCATATAAAAGACTCTGAGAGGTCACAACATAAAAAAATCTGTTTATTAAATTCCTGTAACCATGTAAGTAAATTTTTCTTTCTAAAGCAACCACAAAGAGAAAGCAGTGCCTCTGACCAGTTAGGAATAAAAATCAGATACACAAAGTTTTCTTTTCAGCCTTATCAATCACAGTGCCCTTGACCCTACTCCCAATATTCCAAAACTTACTAGACCTATTATAGTGCCTGAATACAATAGTATTTACTCAAATTGTTCCCTCTGCCTACAGTGCTTCCCTGCCCTGATGAAAATCGAGTCAATTTTTCAAACTTACTCTAAATGTAATTTTCTCTCTGAAGTTTTCTCTGATTTGCCCAGCTGAAATGACTACTCTGCTTTTGTACCTTTAGAATACCCTGAACACTCACCTATCATAATCACTTACAACATTTTAATACAGTTATTTCTGGTTTTGCCTCTCTAAACTAAAAGGGAGACCCCTTCAAAGCAGGGGACTATGTCTTAATTGTCTTTGTAATCCTAGCACTAATCATAGGGCCTAATACTGGATAAGTACTTAATAAATTTTTGTTGAATAAATAAAGAAAAAAATATTATTTTCTATAACTCAAATGTCATATTACTGTTAAAACTATTGCCCAAGAAAGAATTTTGATCAAAGAAGAATTCTGCAAGTAATAATCCTAATTTGTGTTAACCTAACATTTCCAAACAACAAACCAGATAATATTTAACACAAAATGTGTTAGTACATGCTAACCTGAAATTACATTTTTTTCCTTCTTTTCATTAACACCTTTCTCGAGATGTAATTCAAATCCCATACAATTAACTCATTTAAAATGTATACTTCAGTGGCTTTTAGTACATTCAGAGTTGTAAAACCAAGCACCACTATCTAATTTCATTTCTATCACTGAAGAAAGATATCCCATAACGATTAGCAGTCATTCCACATTCACCCGTCTCCTCACCCCCTAACAACGGGTAATATACTTTGTTTCTATGAATTTGCTTATTCTGGACATTTTATATAAATAAAATCACATAATATGTGACCTTTTGTGACTGGCTTCTTTTACTCAGCATAATGGTTTCAAGATTTATCTATGTTGCAGCATATGTCAGTACTCCCTTCCTTTTACGGCCAAATATAATATTCCATCATATGGACATATCCATTTTGTTTATCCATTCATCAGTTGATATACACTTAAGTTATTTCCACGTTTTGGCTGATGCCATGTATAATGCTTCTACAAACATTCATATACAGGTTTTTGCATGGACACACGTTTTCAATTCTCTTGGGTATAAACCTATGAGTGGACCTGCCGGGTCATATGGTAACCATATATTTAACATTTTGGAGAACTACCAAACTGTTTTCTAAAGCATCTAGACCACTTCACACTCCTACCATCAATGTATGAGGGTTTGGTTCTAATCTCTCTACACCTTCACCAACACTTGTAATTATCCGACTTTTTTATTCTAGCCATTCTATATGTGAAATGGTATCTCATTATAGTTTTGAATTGCATTTCCCTAATAACTAATAATAATGAGCATCTTTTCATGAGTGTTACAGAATGAACTGTCTCCCTCCAAAATTTACATATTCAAGCTCTAACTCCTAATGTGACTGTATTTGGAGACAGAGCCTTTAAGGGTAACAAAGGCTAAACAAGGTCATAAAGATGGGGCACTAATCCGACAGGACTAGTGACCTCACAAGAAGAGGAAGAGACATCACAGACGTCTTTCTCTGAGTAGGCACAGACAAAAGGCCATGTGAGGACACAGTGAGAAGATAGCCGTCTACAAGCCAAGAAGAGGTCTCACCAGAAACCAACTCTGACGGCACCTTGATCTTGGACTTCCAGCCTCCAGAACTGTAAGAAAATAAATTTCTGCTGTTTAAGCCACCCAGTCTGTGGTATTTTGTTATGGCAGCCCTAGCTTATTGGCCATCTCTAAATCTTCTTTGGCAAAAAACGTCTATTAAAATCCTTTGCCCATTTTTCAGTTGGGTTATTTGTCTTTTATTGTTGAATTGTAAGAGTTCTTTATATATTCTAGACACAAGTCCCTAATCAGACATATGATTTGCAAATATTTCTCCCATTCCATGGGTTGTCTTTTCACTTTCTTGATAGTTTCCTTTGAAATGCAAAATTTTTTAGTTTTTATGTAGTTCAATTTATTCACTTTTTCTTTGGATGCTTCTGCTTTGGGGGTCATATCTAAGAAACCACTGTCTAATCCAAGGTCACAAAGATTTACATCTATGTTTTGTTCTAAGAATTTTGTAGTTTTAACTCTTACGTTTGTGTGTGATCCATTTTGACTTAATATTTGTATATGGTGCATAGCAGGGATCCAATTTCATTCTTCTGCATGTTGATAACCAGTTGACTTAGCACCATTTTGTATGTTTATGAGGGCTTTTTTTTTATTGTAGCTTTATTTTTTTTTAATTGCCGTATAATTGACATATAACATTATCTTAGTTTCAGGTGTACAACATAGTGATTCAATATTCGCATATACTGTCAGCACCATTTGTTGAAAAAACTATTCTTTCTCCATTTAACTGTGTCGGACCCTTGTCAAAAATCAACCGTTCTTAAATGCTAGAGCTTATTTCTGGACTCTCAATTCTTTTTCTACCAATCTACATGTCTATTCTTAAGTGAGTAATACACTGTCTTGATGGTGGCAAATGTTGAAATCAGGAACTGTGAGTCCTCCAACTTTTGTTTTTTCAAATTATTTTCGCTATTCTGGCTCCCTTGAATTTTCATATGAATTTTAGGATAAGTTTGCCAACTTCTGTAAAAAAGGCACTAGGATTTTGATAGAGATTGCAATGAATCTGTTGATTAGTTTGGGGGATGCTGTCATTTCTTATAGGTTGAATTACGTCAAAAAGATATGTTGCAGGGCCAGCCCAGTGGCCTAGCAGTTAAGTTCTCACACTCCACTTTGGGGGCCCGGGATCTGCAGGTTCAGATCCTGGGTGCAGACCGACGCACCACTTGTCAAGCCATGCTGTGGCAGGCATCCCATGTAAAGTAGAGGAAGATGGTCACAGATGTTATCCCAGGGCCAATCTTCCTCAGCAAAAAGACAAGGATTGGCAACGGATGTTAGTTAGCTCAGGGCTAATCTTCCTCAGAAAAAAAAAAAAAAATATATATATATATATATATATATGTTGAAATTCTAATCCCCAATACCTCTGAATGCAACCATATTTAGAAATAAGGTCTTTGCAGATATAATCAAGTTAAAAAGAGGTCATATTGGATTAAGCTGGGCCCTAAATTCAATGACTGGTGTCCTTATAAGAAAGTCATGTGAAATTAGCTTTTGATCATTTTCTATGTAAAGGATTTTAGAATTTCCATGAGCAATTAACTTCCTTCTATGCCTCCTCAGCGTTCCTTCCCCATAGATGGTTAAGCTACAAATGTTGTGCTGATGAAAATAAAATAGTGGGCTAGGAGACTCTCTATGTGGCTCTCAGTCTCAAATGATCTCCCTATGACTGTCTGAACTTGACTAATCAGAGATTGATTTGAATGCATTTGAAACTAAAATTTGTACCCAGAAAAAAAAGAAGAAAGTCCTGTGAAGACATAGGGACACACAGAGCAGAAGGCCAAGTGAAAGACAGAGGCAGAGAAATGAGTGATGCATCTACAAGCCAAGAAACACCAAAGACTGCCAGCAACCACCAGAAGCTAAGAGAGAGGCACAGAACAGATTCTCCCTCAGAGCCTCCAGAAGGAACTAATCTTGCCGACACCTTAACTTTTCTTGCCTCCAGAATTGTGAAACAATAAATTTTTTTTCCCCCCAAAACTCCAGTAGATAGTTGTATGTCATAGTTGCACATCCTTCTAGTTGCTGTATGTGGGACGCGGCCTCAGCATGGCCGCAGAAGCGGCGCGTCAGTGCGTGCCTGGGATCCGAACCTGGGCCGCCAGTAGCGGAGCGCGCGCACTTAATCACTAAGCCACGGGGCCGGCCCTAAACAATAAATTTCTATTGTTTTAAGCCACGCAGTTTGTGGTAATTTGTCACGGCAGCCTAGGAAACTAATACACCATCTAAACAGTATTAAATCTTCTGATCCATAAACAGGAGATATCTTTCCATTTATTTAGATCTTCTTTAATTTCCTTCAACAATGTTTTATAGTTTTGAAGTATACGAAGTCTTGCACTTCTTGGGCAAAATTTATTCTTAAGTACTTTATTCTCTGTGATGCTATTGTAAATGGAAGTGTTTTCTTAATTTCATTTTCAGACTGTTCATTGCTAGTGCACAGAAATACAATTGATTTTTCTATGTTGATCTTACATCCTGCAACTTTCCTGAACTCATTATTTTTAACAGTTTTTTTTGTGGATTCCTTAGGTTTTTCTACACACAAGATCATGTCACCTGAGAACAGAGATGGTTTAACTTCTTCCTTTTCTTTTTCTTGCCTAATTGCCCTGACTAGACTGTCTAGAACAATGTTGAATAGAAGTGGGGAGAACAGACATTCTTGCCTTGCTCCTGATCTTAGGGGAAAAGCATTCAGTCTTTCACCATTGAATATGATGTTAGAAGTTGGTTTTTTCTCAATGTCCTTTATCAAGCTGAAGAAGTTCCCTTCTGTTTCTAGTCTATTTAGTGTTTTTATCATGAAAGGGTGTTGGATTTTGTCAAATGCTTTTTCTGTGTCTCTTGATATATATCCTTAAGATTTGAACACAATTACAGCCAATTCTATACTTTGGTAAGCAATTTAATGTTAATTTTTCTTATTCTATATATAATCCCTCCCTTAAAGAACCTCATAGAGTTAGTTTCTTTACATACACGTCTTTAATAAAGCTTTGACAATTATTCAATTTAACTATTGCTTTTTCTTTAAAATACTGCAAACGGGCCGACCTGGTGGCGCAGTGGTTAAGTGAGCACGCTCCGCTTTGGCAGCCCAGGGCTCCCATGTTCAGATCCTGGGCGCGCACTGATACATCGCTTTGTCAAGCCATGCTGTGGCAGCGTCCCATATAAAGTAGAGAAGATGGGCACGGATGTTAGCCCAGGGCCAATCTTCCTTGGCAAAAAGAGGAGGATTGGTAGGGCCAGCCCTGTGGCTTAGCGGTTAAGTGCGCGCGCTCCGCTGCTGGCGGCCCGGGTTCGGATCCCAGGCACGCAGGGACGCACCGCTTCTCCGGCCATGCTGAGGCCGCGTCCCACATACAGCAACTAGAAGGATGTGCAGCTATGGCATACAACTATCTACTGGGGCTTTGGGGGGAAAAAAAAAAAAAAAAAATCTTTAAAAAAAAAAAAAAAAAAGAGGATTGGCAATGGATGTTAGCTCAGGGCTAATCTTCCTCACAAAAATAAATAAAAAATAAAATTTAAAAAATAAATAAATAAAATAAAATAAAATACTGCAAACATACTGGTAAACTGGATATATTTTGGCCCCTAGGGTCAAATAAATAAAAGGCACTGGCCCAGTCTCAAAGAAAACTCACAACCTAAATAAATAATTGTTTTAATAAATAGGAGACCTAAACAGATGACTAGTGTAGGGAGGATGAGAGAGGAGTTTCCCAAAGCATATAAGCTCAATATAAGATACAGAGGAGATAATCCAGAGAAAGAGGGAGAAAAGGAGGAAAAGGTATTCTGCACGGAGACAGTGGTATGTGCAAAGGTACAGAACTGAGGAAATGAAAGCAATTCTATGTTGCTGATAAGGATTAGTGTGTGCATATGTGTCTGTGACAAGGGAGAGCTGTGTTACCAAGAGATGACCCTGGAGATATGGGCCACAGCAGTTTAATTTTATCCTTGTCATTCAGAGTAGATTCATATGGTCCATTATGAACACAGAACTTTTTAGCTATACCTGGATCTAACACTGATATAACGCATTCTGCTCCCCGAAGGAAAAAAAGTGCACAGAATATTGTATCATAAATATATTCATATAAATTCACATACACACAACACAACACACACACACACACACACACACACACTCTCTCTCTCTCTCTCTTTCTCATCATTTGTTCCACTCCACCTTACTAACATATTCTGGATTTTTATCTACTAAGAGCTAACTTTAAGGAGACTTTGATTATATCACATTATTTGCTTTCTTTAAGGCTCTTTCGTGTACATACTAACTTTATTTGCCATTACTGAAAATTAAGAAATATCACCAACCTATTGCCACTTGGATATTGTACTACAATGTCATGGTCTTCATCAATGCCACAAACATTTCCAGTTGTAGTTAAAGTCTCAAACATGCCATCAGTCCATCCTCCATGACCATGCTGCAAAGACTGTACAATTTCTAGGTCAAGATCTATATTTACCAGGTCACCAATTTGCAATCCACCAGGATTCCTGTTGCCATTCTGCTCACCTGTAATTGCAAAGGGAGTTGACAAAGAAAAAGGAAAATCACAGCAACAACATGCAACTGCATTATCTTTAAACAAGAACAAGCTCTAGATGTTTTAGTTACCACCTAATCTTGAAATGTTTTGAGAATATACTGTAAGTATCAGATTCTAGAACTGGAGAGCTTTAAAAAAACAAAACAAAACAAACATCAGACTCTAAAATTGAAATAATGTGATGACTTATAACAATGAGTGAACAAGAGTAGAATCTTTAAAAGACTATGCAACCCTATATCAGAACACAAAGTTCTGGGTGTTGAAAACATTCACTTTTCTGCCTGGATGACTCTTTGACTATCACTGCATCAGGACCATAATAACTAACTAGAGAATACGAAAGAGAACCCTGGAATTATTTTTTTCTCTGAAGTGCTTAGTACTATTTTTTACCAAATGGTTCTTGTGATTTTTACCTAAAGAGCACTTGTAGATATTTCAAAGCCCATTCCCTACGTTATTTTCAAAGCTAGTTCTGGAATAAAGGATTCATGATCATAAAACACTATGCTGACGGATTCAGAATGTGTATGTTGACTCTGCACTTTTCTTCTGAAGGTAAGACACAAAACAGGAAAGTTTCTGACAGCAAGAGAAATGGATGAGCTCATCAAAACATAAGTATCTCTTCTACACTCTTCTTTAAAAAAAAAATTAGGGGCCAGCCCAGTGAGTGGCACAGTGGTTGAGTTTGGTGCGCTCTGCTTTGGCAGCCCATGGTTTGCAGGTTCGGATCCCGAGCGCAGACCTACACCGCTCATCAAGCCGTGCTGTGGTGGCATCCCACGTACAAAATAGAAGATGGACACACATGTTAGCTCAGGGCCAATCTTCCTCATCAAAAAAAAAAATTAAAAAATTAAGGCATGCTGCAAGAAAACAGCACTTTTTGGCAAAAGGACAAATCAAATGATTTGGAAAGAAGAACACAGAGTTCACGTGAGAAAGGAAAGCATTCAGGGACTAAAGGCTCAATCAAAAGAATGTGGTAAATGTTCACCATGGCAATAACAATCTATAAAATGAAGCTAGTTTTGGTTTTCTCGTTCTTTTCTTTTTATTTTAATGATATATGAAGTTATATTTATTATATTACCTTAATCTTGGAGCTGTTCTTGTACTAAAAAGGCAATTTTCAAAAACTTCTAAGGAATTTATAAGCATTAAATTGTCAGATTCTATTCTCAGTAGTGTTAAGAGATATAACATTGATAATCTAACAAAATTTTTCAATAGAAGTTTATGAAAGACAAAAGTTTCAAATATATTATGACATATAAATGGCATATCAATTCTCAAGACATGACAAGTCTTTCAGAGTCTAAATAAATCATTAAAAAAGAAGAAATGCTTTAAAACCAAAAAATTATCTCTCTAAACAGCTTTAGTGGTAAATAATTTTTTTCAAGTCCAATTAAAAAGTCCAGTTTAACCATTTTTCTGATTCCATGCACTCTGACCCATTACTTAGTAATTTTCTCTAGTCTGCTAACTCACCTAGCACAGGGCAGTGATCTCTGTAGAAAGAACCTCCTTTGGCATCCTGGACACACTTCAGATCAGACTAAGAAGAAGAAAAGAAACCAGAAAAATCACCCTTGAAAACTTCAAGCATAGGTCAATATCTAAAACAGACAAATGTTCATTCAGAACATACCCTCAGCAGAAGTCAAGAGTAGTTCTGAGTTAACAGTCACACTAAACACTGCTTTCAAAAGGACCCATCAAAAACTATAAACTTGATCTTCAGATAGGTCATACTTTATTTATTTTTAGCTTTCTTTTAAAGTTCAAAATTAAAATGCCTAGATCTTTACCATTATAATATTTCCAAAAACACATGCTAAAAAAAAGGACTATAACAAATATCTAATATTTAAAACGTACCTAACACATTCCATTTTAAAGATACTTTTAACAAAAAAAGTTCAACTCATTTGATCTTTCTAATCAATTTTATGAAATATACAAGGCAGGTACTAACTCATTTTATAAAGGAAATTATCCAAAACTAAACAGCCAGAAAGTAGAAAAGAACAGAACCAAATCCAGTATTTGATTCCTTGCCCAGTCAATTTTCCTACACACGTCAACTTTAGTCCTTACTTCACCATAACTCAGTTAACGCAAGTTCCTTCCCACTCAGCTTTCATAAGAAAACAAATTTATTATTTAAGTATCTGAATGGGGAGGCAGTCCTGGTATAATGGAAAGTACAGAAAATATGAACTTAGAAGAGCAACCTTGAGGGTTACCGTGAAAATTTAGAAGTACATTTCCTTAAAAATGCCTATATATACATAGTAGGCAATCAGTACATACACACTCTATTAAGGAAAGGAGCTCCTTTATACATACACACACACACACACACAGAACCCAACTCTCTTTCACAGTCTTCTTTGCCACTAGAGCATCACATTTAGTTCAATCCTAACCAAAAAGACACACAGGTCAAACTGTTTTAATTTGATACTTTAACCCAGGAATTCCACTTCTAGGAATCTATCCTAAGGAAATACACCCATAAATGTGCAAAGACATATGCAAAAGAATGCTTACTGAAACAATGCTTGCAACAATGGGAGGAAAAAAAAAACCCAGATACCCCCCTCAACAGAAATCTCATTAAATAAATAACAGCATAACCATACAGAGAAATATTACTCAGCCATCAATAAACATAACAGGATCAATCTATATATACACACTACTCATTAAGCACCTGAGCACATAAAGCACTAAAGCTTCATTTGAGGCAAGTTAATAATCAGTTGGAACCCTCAAGAATCCACAATTTAAAAACAGGGAGAGGCACAAAGATAATAATGAAAAACTGATAACAAATGCTATATATTATTATAAAAATTGGCAAGTAAAGTATTTGTTTAGATTCACATGCCTGGCTTTATATATAAATGGAAGAAATTAAAGCAAAGGGACAGTGGAGTATTTTTTCCCCACCTAACGAGGGGCATAAAACAGTGGGGAAAAAAATTAAATTTAAAGAATTCTTTGCATGAGGAATATATTCAAGATGGAAGGGATATAAAAGGCATTAATATTTTGACATTGATATACTATTTAATTATACTTTATGAATTAAATAGCTGAGGTCAACATTTGAACAATGATCCACGAAGCGCAGAAACACAGGCTCATCAATTATTCTCTATCCATTATTCTCCTAAGCACTTAAGTAATTCAAAGTGTTTTTAGGACAATCATTTTCAATTATCAACACCACACTTGAAAAATACAGGGAAAAAAATCTCCTTAAAAAATAATTTTAACACCTATTGTAATTTATACTTTTATCAGCTACCAGATCCTAGAATACAAATATACCACAAAAATCTCATTATAATACTATTCTCAATGTCCATGCCAAAGAGCAGCCTTATAGATGATTCTAAATCTTTGTGACAGATTTTAGTAAATAAAATCCCTACTTACATTTATAAGGGATCAGCTCTATACAATCAATGTATAGTAAGTTATCAAACATTAACTGAGGACAAAATCATATTTACTATTAAATAGTTTAAATAATCGTAGTAAAAATGTAAAGTTTATTAAATTTGCACTTTACAGATTTTCCCTCCTATTGCATATTCATGATTCAGATGGCTGTACCCTGACAAAAGGATATGACAAAATAAAAAAATTAAAAACCAATAAGGGCTATTTTTATTTCCCTTTATTCATCCATCCAATATTGTCATCTTTTGTGGTTCGTACTACCTACCATGCCTTCAAAGCCAACTCTGTACAGGTTCTTAGCACCATTATCCCAGAGAACATACGCTGCACTGTGTGGGCTCGATGCACTCCAGTCCTGGATTTCTGTTACCTAACGGAATTTTTGGAGAAAATAATTTTTTAAAAAACAGAGAGGAGAGGTTAGTTCTTTTAACTATATTTAAATCTTAAAAATCATTTCAGCTGCCATCCCGTGTAACAAGATCATGAAAAATACTAATTTGCCAAATATGTCACTTCTAATGTATAATTAAATTATAATTAGAGACATTTTTCCAGAATTATAAAGTAATTTATGAAACCACTGTAGAAATTTTAAATTGGAAGGCTTAGCAATTACAGTAATAGATTACCAGAAAATATACACTTTAACACAAAATTTTAAATCTTTACTTTTCAAAGAACAGTGTATTCTCTTAAGCCCATTATACGATAGAAAATTTTAAATTTTTAACCAACTGCCCAAAATGATTCAAGATAAACCTGCTCTCTGGTCAGCTAAAAGATGAGAAGCACAAGGCTCAATGGCAGTGTTCAAAGAAGACTTGAGTGATTTTGCTCCTCCAGCAGTAGTTGCCCCAAAAAGCAGGCCATCTAAGCTAAAACACCATGCCTACAATGGAAACCCAAACACAATCTCTAGGCCCCACATGCCACCAGACTGATTCGTAAGCTCATTTGATATTAAAAAAAATAAAATAAAAACTAGGGTTGCTACTGCTTAAGGGCCAAGAATCAACTACACAAAACTGACATACAACGAGCATTAAACTGGAGTATTCCCAAATAAACCAGTTTACAGCTAAGAAGGGGAAGTTACACATATGCAACTCATTACTTCTCTACATCTTGACACCTATAATCAGCCACCCTTCATAGCTACTTAGAATGCCCGGCTGATGCTAAATACAATTTTTAAGGCATGACCTTAAAAACAGACTATTATTTCAAATAAGATATAAAGACCCTTTCATTTTTACCCTGTACTAAAGAAACAGTTTTGTAAGCTATGTATTTTATGGTGTTTTTATAGAGATAAAACGGTTTTATATTTAGGATTTAATCAAACATTTGAGAAATATTTCAAATTGTTAGTAAATGAGTCCATTCTTTTTAATTTCAAAATATATAACATATGTAAACTTTAAAGAACAATAAAAAATGAAATGAAAATCAGCCTTAAGGAAAAGAATATTACCAGTATTTTTCAAGTCCTCTGTGTGCCCCTCATCAATTCCATCCTCCTGCCTCCCAACAGAGGTAACTAACATCCTGAATTTAGAATCCAACCCTGCCTTGCTTTGCTTTATGATTTTTACAACTAACCACTGTATAATTAACAAAGCAACAGTTTCTAACACTCTAAAGTGAAACATGCAGTCTTTAGCAAAAAATTCCTTCTGATTCTAATATAGTCAGATTCTACTTCATTTGTTTTTAAAAATGCAATGCTAGATTAAATAAATCTGTATTTTTATAAGGAGGACAAAAAAACATTTCACTAACTAAAAAACCAAGACTACATATTTTATTTAAATCAAATATACCTTAAATTTCAAATCACTTGGGATATAAGTAAGTTTGCTAGTCAAGCTCTGAATCACTAAATAAAATTCCTTAATTTGTTAACATAATTTGACTTATTATTGAGGGGGAAACACAGTGGAAGACATAAGAAAATAACTACATTACTTTTATACTTTCAATTCTGATTAAGAAATACATGCAGAATGGCTGCTAAAATCATTAAGTAAAAGGTTGCTGAGGGCTGGCCCGTGGGTTAGCGGTTAAGTGCGCCCGCTCCGCTACTGGCGGCCCGGGTTCCGATCGCAGGTGCGCACCGACACATCGCTTCTCCGGCCACACTGAGGCCACGTCCCACATACAGCAACGAGAAGGATGTGCAACTATGACATAACTATCTACTGGGGCTTTGGGGGAAAAAAAAAAAGGAGGAGGATTGAGAATAGATGTTAGCTCAGGGCCGATCTTCCTAAAAAAAAAAAAAAAAAAAAAAGGTTGCTGAGAAACTCCATAACGGATCAAACTGACAATACCTGCATCCACTGATCAATCTTAACATCACTAATGGTAGGATAATCAAATTAGGCTTTATGTGCCTCCTGATGTGATGCAATAAAAAGTACATAGCACCACTTAAGAGGTATTCTTGCCAAAATAAAACTGAACCTGAATCTAATGAAGCCTCTATATCTAACAACTAGTTTATATGAAATACAAGGGTTAGAGGACCAAGTTAAAGAATATCATCAAGAATCAACTGGCCAAATCAAAAGAACCTGATTTCTTCAACAAATAAATGACATTTTTTTTTTCTGCAGGGGAAGATTCGCCCTAAGCTAACATCTGTTGACACTCTTCCTCCTTTTTTTCCTTCCTTTTTCCCCCCAAAGCCCCAGAACATAGTTGCGTATAGTTGTAAGTTCTTCTGGTTCGTCCAGAAGAGCCACCGCCACAGCATGGCTACCGACAGAGAAGTGGTGTGGCCCTGCACCCGGGAACCGAACCTGAGCCGCCAAAGCGGAGCACGCCGAACTCTAACCGCTAGGCTATCAGGGCTGGCTTAACATTTTTTTTTTTTAAGATTTTTATTTATGTATTTTTTTCCCCCAAAGCCCCAGTAGATAGTTGTATGTCATAGCTGCACATCCTTCTAGTTGCTGTTATGTGGGACGCAGCCTCAGCATGGCCGGACAAGCGGTGCGTTGATGCGCGCCCGGGATCCGAACCCGGGCCGCCAGCAGCGGAGCGCGCGCACTTAACTGCTAAGCCACGGGGCCAGCCCCTACATTTTTTTAAATGTTGGCAATTTTTGAAGTTGGGTGATGGGTGCATGGGAATTTGTTATACTACTCTTTCTACTCTGGTGTACCATAGAAACTATCTCTACTGTACCTACATGAAATACTTAACTGACATATATTCAAAAGCATTTGTAAAATGAAAAATAGTCTTAAAATACTAACACAGGTAGTGGTGCTTAAGAAACCCTTTAAGAACACACTACACACTTCCATGACGTCTTTACATCATGTTTGCCAAAGTCTACACTTGACATGTTTATTTTTGTGTGTGAACACTGTTATCACCATGCAAATCATGGTACATGCTAGCATGTGGTGGGCCACAGATTGCACTAATATTGCAACATCAGCCTGGGTTGGTATATAACCCATAACACAGCTCATACTAGCCATATAGTTGAACACATGTAGTAATGAAGGTGATGTAAGGATCTTAAACCTCAAAAAAAAAAAAAAAAGAAAAGCATACACTACGTATTATTCATGTGGGTTACACCAGGGGATTGGGACAGAGCAGCTGGCACTGAAGGAAAAAGGAGGACTTAAAAACTCTTTATTCACATACAAGATCAAAAGTCAGAAATAAAAACTGAATTTGATCTCAAACGTGTTTAAACAATGTTACCCTGAAGATTTATTATCATATTAAGTTCCCTCACTCACAGTCACATGTGCAAGACGGTTTCATTTATTTTTCCTCATTTCATTCTTAAAATGTAACGTATTAAATCGTAACAAACCAAAAATGAAATACTGACGAATCAAAGCTTCAAGAATGCCTACTTTTTACCCCCTAAAAGTGCCAATAAAACAAAACCCCAGCAAGTTCCATTTACATGGCTTCAGACTTTAACAGCAACTGCCTTCAAAAGCTGATGAAAAAATAACTTCCAACCCTCTGACCATATAATTAACTGTGGGGAAGAATATAAAGTTAAAAAGATATTTAGAATGAAAGCATTAAAATCTTACTTCTCGTGCTCTCTTTCAAAAGAAGTTACTAGAATGTGTACTCTATGAAAGGAAAGAGTAAGCTAAGTAAGATAATGTACTGAAATACAGAAAACATGAGATCCAGCCAGGAAAGAGGAAAAGGTAGTTATCAAAGGGAGCTTCCAGGGTGACTGCTGGGCACCAAGGGTGATCTGTCCAAATTGCAGCCATGTGATTCATAGGCCAGACACGCTGAAGGCTACCTTATCACCAAGATCCCTACTGTCATTATACCATTTTAGTGACCTGAGGGGACAACACACAAGTGAGCCTGACCCTAATTCTCAAGTGTACTTGGCTTGCGGACTACGTAATAATGAAGTTCCCATTCTCCCCTCCATCCTCCATTCCCTGCCATCTAGATCAGCTGAGGTCTCTCATCTCACCCCACAGAATATTCTGCTTTGACCTACTACTAAAATTCTGAGGCGGCCCATGGTAAGCTTAGAAGCAAAAAATACATAGTAACCCATCCCCTCTGACCATATTCCTGCCCAATGCCCAGCACTTGGCCCATAGTTCTGCCCTGCCTGATATCCAGACTGTGCTGCACCCTCAACCCACTAACGACCTTGTCCACTGACCATCCCAGAAGCCCTCTTTTAAACTCCCAGAGAAGTAAGACCAGTTACCCAGAGACTCTATTCGGTTTTTATCTCCTGGGAGACTTCATCTAAAAGTGGTAACTCTGCTCTGTCCTCACAATAGCTAGATTTGTGCTTGCTACTTGGTTCTTCAAAAATTAAATCCTAAATGTTGTAGTACACAGCACTAAGTCATACAACAATAAAGAAAAACAATGGAATAATGATAGCAAAATTCAGCTGCCCTGGGGGGCCTGCAACTGAAAAAGGGTAAACAGAAGGCTTTTAAAGGTACTCATAACATTTTATTTTTTAATCTGTACAGTGGGAACAAAAGGGTTCATTTTTATTAATATTCTTTAAACTTTCACATACGTTTTATACATTCTTCTATGTGATTCAGGACTGCTACAAATGGTTGTGGAAGTTGTTCACTGCACAATGGGCCTCGCCAAGGAGGAGAGTAGGGGCTGAACATACAGCCTGAGCTCCACTTACCAACACCCCATGAGCTGGGACAAGGTTGCTCCTGCGCCCACCTCCAAAGGGGTCCTTTTCTCTGCCATTAGCTTGCCAAGCATGTCCTCACAGCATTCCATCCATCTAGAGGTGGTGCCTTTTTCCAAGTCCACACTGCTCTCTTTTTCTTTTTAGAGCAGTGCTTCTCAAACTTTAATGTGCATATATAGGACTTAGGGATCTTGTTAAAATGAAGATCCTAATTTAGAAGGTCTAGGAAGAAGGGGAACTATTATTATATTTCTAACAAGCTGTCAGGTGACACCACCACTGCTGGTCCACGGGCTACACTACAGTCACAGAATTTAGATTTATATTTTTTGTCTCTCTCTCCTAATTAGAATATAGGTTTCAGGAGAGTAGGAACTTCAACTCTTTTGTTTATTGCTATATCCCTGATGCTTGAAACAGAAGCCTGAACACAGTAAGTGTTCAATAAATATTTACTGAATTTTTTAAAAAAAGCAAAAGTTTGCTTCCTTAATAAAAATTAAAGTACTTAAAATATAATAGCTAAAATACATCTGTCTGACTTCCAAACATTAAAACTAGACCTTATTATTTAAAATGAGATCAATATAATAATACTCTGAATTTAGAAAACATCTATTTGAAAAAACATTTAAAAATCTTAAATTCAAAAGAATCTATATAGTACCAAATTGTACAAAAAACACTTTCCAGTTCCTGTGAAGGGTTCCTCAGATGACAGACTTTAAAATCATTCCTCAATGCTAAAAACAATTTTTTCAAGAAGGTAATAGTGGAACTGATAGTGACTGACATCTAAGTCTCAAACATGACATTCTGCTGACATCAGTACCTCTAGAATCTAGCATAACACAGAGTATACACATTTGATATTTGTTGACTGAATTAATGAATGAATAATCAGCAAAGGCAACATAAAACTCAAAATAAAACCAACAACCCACTTACCCTAATATCTCTGGCTACCCCACATCAGTTAAACAGGCTGTACAAAATTCCCCTCAGAACAACCACTATAATTGACCCCTAGACAGCTCTACACGCTACCTGAGGAGGGTAACGGACTTAAGTGGACTGGATAACAAAGTAGCTGCCTTATTACCCCTCAGAAACAAACAGGACTTTGAGGGAATGGAATATAAAACAAGTAAATTCAAATGAAATTTTAATATCAAGAAAGTGGAGAGCATGAGACTGCTTAGGGAGGACTGGTCCAAAGAGGATGTTCACAAAGGCATTCTAGGCAACAAAATGGCAATATGAAGCCTAAAGGCAAAATCTACCCAACGACCTTCTCAAGGAATGCCAATATTTACAACAGAGCAGGAACAATCTCTTTTCTTCCAGGAAAAAAAACAAATGAAGATTTAAAAAAAATTTTTTTGGCATAGGAAAAAAAATGGGCCAAGAAATTTAATTATAGTAGAAATAAAAATCTCCTGAACAAAGAATACTCTAGAATAACATGATGAATCAGGAAAAAAACTTTACCTTTCCTCTACGGCCATTTCCTCCATCCTGATCTTCCCACTGCCAGTCCACTCCTCGTACCACTCTGGCACCTGCAAAGATCCCTCTGGCTGTAATCTTCTTAGATTTTCTACGAGACTCCAACAGAACCCTGAAAATAAAATTATTTATTTTCAAATTTATATAAAATAGGTAACAGTAATTTATTTTTTTAAACAAGATTGTAAAAAAAGGGTTATTTTGAAAATATAAAAATTTTTCTTTGTTCTGGTTCATTGTATAGCAGTATGTGACAGGAATACCTTCTAGATTCCATAGTTGGTGGTGATGATGATAATAGTAGTAGTTTGAATAACAACAGCAGCAGCTAATATTCACTGAGCTTGTACTATACACAAAAGCACTTACAGAGGTATCAAGTCTGTTATGCTCCTTAAGAGGAAGGTATCATTATATTATTCATTTTACAAATGAGGAAACTGTGTCTCAAAAAGGTAAGTAATTTGCCCAAGGTCACAAAAGTAAACAGTAATGCAATCAACACATGAACCCATTCTAATCACTTCAGAGTATCATTAAACTCTTCACTACTTTAGAGATAGCCAACTCAAATCCCTACAACTGTCAGGCAAGTAATATAAATGAGGGCCTAAGAAAGACAGCACCACAGCAATGACAAATGGCAAGTGGCACTTGACCTCAGGCTTAGGAAGACAACAGGGAGTGGTAGGGACTTTGCTGAACTAAAAAGCACCACCTGTCTAAAGGGTGCAGGTGCTTCTATACACTTTAGCCACCTACTGCCATGAACAAATGCAGGCCCAGTGTTGACAGTCTTCTGGGTGTCTGTGTGTCTGTGTCTGTGTGTCTGTGTCCGTGTGTGTGTGTCTGTTGTGTGTGTGTGTGTGTGTTCAGAATTCATAAACTTAGATTTTTGTGTGAAATCACCTGATTTTAAAAGGTTAGCAACTGTTCAAAAATTTAGAGCATTGTATATGCCAAGTAAAATACATCTGTGGCCTGGATCTGACATACAGTAAACTGTCTCCAAGGCATTACACACCTACAGAAGACTATGGACCTTGAAAAAGACTCTACACTCAACTACCTGGACCAGCTTGGTTCTCCAACATCATCTAACCTTTATTCTTCTACAACTTTCTCATTCATGAAATCAGGAAGATTTGGGGGGTTTTTTTCTTTTGTTTTTCTACTTGATCTCATTATTCTATTCATTTTTAGAATGTCTTTTTTATACCCTAACTTAAAAAATTGTAAGCAAAAGACAAAAATAAATAACTTGTTCAAAATTACTCAGTTAATAAATGGTAGGACCAGGATTTGAATCAAGACAGTCTGACATCAAAATCCATTTTTCTACTACTCCTGCTGCCTCCTTTTGACTGGCTAGATTCTTGCTTCTATGCATTATCCATGTCTACGTGAGAAGACTCAATCACCTGAAACTCTACACCCATTCACAATACTCCTCTCTCTTTGCTCCTAAAACACTTAACACATATCTCTACAGAAAGTCCAAAACATCACATGATAATCACTGTTGATCAAATAATCCCTTAACTTGTAAACTCCTTAAGAATACTGTCTTATTTGTCTTCAAATGTGCACAAGTACAGCAGCTACACCATAGACTTAATAAATGCCTCTTGATTCAATCAATGGGCCCTAGTGTTCATCTGATAGCAATTAATAGAACAGAATGCATAGTAAGAAGAAAATAAGCAGCCTCTCTTGGGCTGCCCTTGCATTTCCAAACATTGAGTAGTGCCAAGTCTCTATACGAGACAAAGAACAGCCCAGATTATCTTGGAATAATACATACAGCTCCATCTTCACAGAGCTCTTTTCTCACTATATAGCAGGCCTGGGGCCTGCTCCACCTCTAGCCTGCTACCTGCTACCTGCTACCTCCTGACTAAACTAGCTGCCAGAAACGATTTCCTACTCCTATTTTTAAGGCTTAATAGTATAAAAAATTTAACACAAAAAAGGAATTGCAACTGAAGAAAAATTGTTTTCCATACCGCTCACTTCCTGGTGTAGTAATTCTATAAAAGCGATGCCTTAAATGATGTTTATCTCCATGATAACAAACTGTACACAAATCATAATTTGTACACTCTGCACATTTCCATCGAATGCCAATGATCGGTTGCTGGCGGCAGGTATCACACATGGTTCCATCATGCTTGATGCCTATTAAAACAAGGATACATGCTTACGTCAATGACAAGTATTATTTACTTGAATATTATTCTCTAAGGGGAAAAATAACAACACAGCATTTTGTAAAGTAGGAAATAATATTTCAAATGTATCATACATAGTTTCAAAACCTAGAAGTCACACGCATGCTCTTGTGAGTACACGTATACACAGCGTATAAACAGAGAAAATCTGAAAACCCACTCCAAACTGCTGACAGTGGATGGAGGTGCACAGATGGGGAGGGGGAGGGCACTTTCATGCTTTGTTCTATACACTTTTGAATTATTTAGTTTTATTAGACACATATTAATTCCATAATTTTAAAAAGGAAACACAAGAGAGATCAATTTTATCCTCTCAGATTGGCACACATGAAAAATAATATGTCGGTGCATGTGAAGATGGTGTCAAGAGAGCCAGACAGATACTGCTGAGAAGGAAATATAAATTGATACAACCTCTATGGAAGGTAAGACAAAATGTTTCAAATGCCTTAAAAGACTTGACACTGCCTTCAAATTTTTTAAAAGGTACATCTAAAGATACTAAATTGTGTGTAGTAAAAACAAAAATTTAACATTACTGGTGTCAAAAATATGGGGCTTGGGCCGGCCCTGTGGCTTGGTGGTTAAGTGCGTGCGCTGCGATGCTGGTGGCCCGGGTTCGGATCCCGGGTGCGCATCGAGGCACCACTTCTCCGTCCATCCTGAGGCCGAGTCCCACATACAGCAACTAGAAGGATGTGCAGCTATGACATACAACTATCTACTGGGGCTTTGGGGGGAAAAAAATAAAATAAATAAAAAAAAATCTAAAAAAAAAAATATGGGGCTATTTATGTGTAAACTATGATAATCCACAGAGGAAAAAAATCAATGCAGTTAATAAACCATGTTGTAGAAGAAATGTTACTGACATGGTGAACTATATTGTTATTTTATAAAGTAGTTTGCAAAGAATTACAGTATACCATTTTGGTAAATAAATTACCTAATACATACAATACACGTGCACAGAAAAACTAGAAAGATAATCCCCAAAATGTGCTGATAGGCTTACCCTTTGTGGTTTTCCAAGTTTTCTACAATGACTGTGGATTAATTCTAGGAAGCAGCTGAGTGAGTTGGGGCAGTTATATAAGCATTGGAGATGCTGTATAAGCACTGGAGATGCTGGTGTATGTCACAATTAAAATAAAAGCTAAAATAAAAACATGAGGGACTCTAAGTAAATAGTTACAGAAACCAACTTGCAAATAGTTGCTTTAGCAATTTGGTATGTAACGGCTACTTAGAAGTTTTTATTTCTTTTAACCCTTACACTAACTGAGCTATTCCATGCTTATGAAAAGACAATACATACCTTACCTAAGTACACTCCTCATTGCCACAGGCCTGAAGTTAGAGTCTAATCTGTTCTACCACAGGAAAGCACCATGACCAAAAACATCATAATTAATATCAAATAGCAGTAATAGTCAATGTCCACACCACGGTTAAGTTTCTTAACAAGGTCTAAAATAGGTCTCCTATGTCATCACAAAAAGTAAAACGCACTAAACAAATTGGTATCCACTATGCACTCAGGGGTTTATCCTAAACTATCTGCGCAGCTCCTCAAATAAGAGCTGGTTGATGAAAGGCATAGAGAAAATGTATCCCCACCTCCCCACCTGACCAAAATGAGAAAAAGTCCAGTTTTATAAATTTTTCATCTCAAAGTTCATTTTCCACAAAGTATAGTGATAACATTCATGAGCTCATAATCTGAGTATAGGCATTCTTTAAAAGGAACCTTTTAAACACACAATGATAACTGGTAAAAAAAAAGAAAAAACAAAAAACCTTTTACGATTCATGGTTTTAAAGAATACTTCAGGGAAACCATTAATGCACACAAAAGCACATCCAAATCCTTTCTTGGTTCCCATAGTTCAAATGCCAACAAAGCTACTGAACAGCTGTGAAACAGACCAATGCTGAGAACTAGAGAAAGTAAACAAAGCAACCCACTCCACTACCAAAATGAGCACTATGGAATTTTTAATGAGAATGCAATTAATTGACTTTAAAACAAAAGTTGATATTTAAAGAAAACATAAAACAGGAGAAAGGGCATTAAATCAACAAGGCCAACATTTTACTGATCTCTTACTTTGGTAGCTTTTTTGTTTCCCCTTACTACATCCACCCAATTCATTCCCATCTAAAACCATTCCCTCCTAGTCTAAACCTCCTTAGCACTGGCAAGAGTTATTCCTTCAAGTTTTCATTTCATAAAACTTAATTCCCTAACTAAACCTATTAGTGCTTTTTCTCCTTCCTATAGAATACGGTATTGACCAGAGAGTGAATGCTCCTTCCCTTTGGCTAAGCTTTATGAAGACATCTGCCACCGTTAAATGAACCACCTGACGACAGCTTTTGACTCATTCTACTAATACTCAAATGACCATCTGCTCTACCTTTTAATGGCATCTCGCCTAAATTCAATAACTTAGAGAACTTACGTTGCTTAAATCTTTTTGTTGGAAAATTTTATGAGAACAGTAAAACATGCTACTCAAGATCAATAACCACGTGTTCTTAAGAAAGCCAGGAAAACAGCTCCAATTCACAAAGCACTGATTTATTTAAGTAAAATGTTAAATTTCTAGATAGAAAAGATGACGGAAAGAGCTCTCACTACAAGCAGTTCACTCTGCAAAGCTCTTCAACATGGAACAAGAGTATCTGAATTAGCACTTTGAGTAACACCAAAAGAAAAGGTAAACAATATAATTGTTCATTAACAAGAGAGTGGAAACATATATTAGGTATACAATGGAATACCTAAAATGAATGTTCAACAGCCACAAAATTCAACATGGATGAATCCTTCAACCATAATGCTGAATTTTTCAATTATACAAGAATAAAAAATGTCACAAAGTACTATATATTGTTTACAGATGTATAAAAATATAGCATAAATGTAAAGAACCCATGGAAATAACTAATTTCTAGATAGTGGTTACCTTAGGAGAGGAAGGAAGAGAATGAAATTGGGAAGAAGTACACAGAGTATTTGAAATATATTAGTAATGCTTTATTTCTAGATGGATTTGCAGGTATTTATTAATCACGTATCTACTTGGATATCTTAAATATTATATAATAAATTTTTAAACATGTTTTAAATAAAAAATAAACATCCCTAGTAGACTAGTATGGTGCCCTAATTAAAAGATTTCACCTAACATTAAAAAATAATTTACAAGTCATTAACCAGTGTTTAAACTAAATTACTTATTGTGGCAAAACTGTTTGTTGATGTCATTCAACCAACCAAGAAATCCTATTTCTGATTTACGGATTCATTCAACTTTAACCCTAAATCAATGTGACAAAAAGTTTACAGAGATTAAAGAGGGTTAACCAACTAGAGTATGCATCTTATTCTCCCTGAACCATCAAACTACTTACTGGTTTAGAAACTGTCTCGAGTGTAATTAAAATTCCTAATTAGGGTGAGGCCTTTGTGACCTGCCAGCTGGTTGGTATACTCCACATTCCTTACTCTTGAGTATTACTAAATTAATAAAAATAGGTTTGTTATTATTAATAATCCTGGCCACTATTCATTAGTATCAAGTTTGGTGTTTCACATACATTTTATTTAACCTTCCTAACAATACTAAAAGGTAGGCATTATTATCCCCATTTATAGATGAAGAAACTGAGGCTCAGAGAACTTGCCTGAAGTCACACAACACAATTGGCAGGCCAAAATTCAAACCCAGGTGGGTCTGATTACAAAGCTTGGCCTCTTATGCTCTTCACTTTACCAGGGTGTTTTCCTACTTCATTCTGATCTTATATGAAAAATAGTTACATATCTAGGGCATCATGTTCCCCATCTGACCTACCGAACTCAAAATACAAGTTATTAAATCCTATTCTAATATTCAAATAAATCTCAAAGAGAAATGTTTTAAAAATTAAAAATATTATCTATTTTTAATTAATTTCAATAGTGTATTAGAGTGAAACACCATCTACTTCCATCCAACTCTTGTTACGCCTTAAGAAAATGTCTTTGAAGATGTCTCACCCAAAATCTACAACTCCCTCATCGTATCTTTTCTGTTGGACAAGTTATTCTCTTTTCTATTTTTGCAGGCTTTGCTACTCTCCTTTATTACAAGCTTGCTTAATAAAATTGCATCATGCCCCACACAGTCCCAACAAAAGACACAAGGTGTCAAATTAGGCACACAATTGGCAATTTTAGCAACATATCTAGCACTTGTTACATAGGGGTAGAAACGTAATGAAGTCAAACAAAATTAAGAATTTTATCCACTTTAATTTTTTTTCATGCTAACTGGTAAAAACTCATTTCATTTTAGAAGCAAAACACCTGTCTCTGTACCCTGACCTACTCCAACTTCATTTTACAGATGAAGAATTAAAGCTCAAAGAGACTGTTATAAAGTTGGGGGGCCAGGGGGTGCTGGCAAACCTGGATTTGAATCTCCACCATCAACTTGTGAAATCTTAGGCAAGTTAGTTCATTTCTCATGGCCTGTTATCTCACCAGTAAAATGAAGGCTATGGAATAACATTTTTATGAGGATTAAATGAGATAAAGTATGTAAAACACTTAGCATAGTGCCTGACACGACTGGAGCTCAGTAAATGTTAGTCCATTCTCCTAGTTAACAGGCCCACTTGATAAAATCAAGAATGAACAAATACTTGGATTTCCCTACTAAGCTGGTACATTTTCCACTACTCCATGAAGAGAGACTGGGGGAGAGGGGTAAGGGAGGCACCATAATGTAAGATATTACAATCCCAAGATTTTATGACTTATTATCACTAGCCCTGCAAAACTCCCAAAATTCAAATAATGATTTTAATATCAAAAGGTTTCCATTCCAGGGCCGGCCCTGTGGCTTGGTGGTTAAGTGCGCACGCTGCGATGCTGGTGGCCCGGGTTCGGAT